CTTCTTTTACATATGTGCAAAGTTTCATGTCTTTTTCTCCATTTTGAAAGAAATGGCGCGAGCTTCACCATACCATACAGCGATAATTGAAGTGTTAAAAAGGGAAAGTCCAAATGAGACGCCATAAAAAAGCTCAAGGTGCCGAGAATCTTGGTTCAAAGATTTGTTTTACGTTACCAGAGACTTCCGCTTTATGTTGACTGCGCAAAAGCTGGACATGCATTCACCGTGACCACTCCAGCTCTTGTTAAAGCTGACCGAGAGATTATCCGTCGAAAACCGGAAAAGAGCACCAAAAAGATGGTCAACGACATCAATATGTGTCACAGATTGATGGAAACTATTGCCAGTCAGAAGCTGTATTTGTATTCTTATCAAATGCAGAAGCCGGCGTTCTTGACGGAGAAATACCTGCTGTTTCTTAATAAAAAAGCACAACATCTCCTCCGCAGCATGCAAGCCTTTTCAAGCAATTTTTGCATTTTTTGATGATGAAGTATTTAATGTTGAGGCTGACGAGAACGGTAAAAACAGTCGTATTATTGCTACAGACTTTGAAACCGTTTGTAAAAAAGAAACAATTTTGAATCTAAGCCAAGGGTCGTACCGCAGACACTCAGCAGTGGTTCAAGGGCAGTTTTCCAGAATTTATATAGGTTGCAGAAAAGCAGGCTCCGTCGCCATATCTGAACCAATTAGACTATGCCATTTAGGAATATTCTAGCCAGAGGGTCTTTACGGAAAACTACTCAAGTTTGGATGCTTTGATGGTTGTCCACGAGAAATTATGGGACGCTCTTCGGCGAAAACGCCTGCGTGCCGTGATCGACTCTTCTCTGGAAGAAATCGAGTTTTGATCACAGCCGATGGTGGACAATTCGAAAACTATAGTCAAATTTTGTTTTTCTATCGTTTCAATAATCTACTGTTAAAGTTTTTTTTTTCAAACAAATGCGGTGGTGAGGAACAGTGAAATAATTCAATATGGTTGGAACAACCCGTGGTGTTAGGATCTGTTTGCTATTAGGTTGTCACGTGAGTTTCTTTCGATTCCTAGTGCTCAATTTTGAAAATTCGTATCTAGTTAGTGGGGTAATTTTTCTACACGGATGTTTTTTGTTGGATGGAGTATATCACAAACTTGCTTCATAAACTTTGTCTCATTACTCTTTCCTGTCGTTCTTGAGAATGCGGCCTGCTTTCGTCACTTACCGTCTAATCGATGCTTCCAAAAGAACAACAATCGAAGGGCTGGTGTGTGGTTCGAGACAAAAGTTTTTCAATTTGGCGTTCAAGAGAGGTCCAAGAGGCAAATAAACTTGAAAAGGAGAAACAGAGACTATTCGAAGAGGAAATGAAAAAAAGAATCGACATGACAGAGTTTCAATTGGATTAGGAATGTTCTCAAATCGAAAAAGCAAATGTTTCTATGTATCTGGAATTATTATTAATCATTTTGTATCATTTTTGTTTGGAAAAAACTTTTCAAATAATCGTCGTTTCATTTATTGTCTCAATAATCCACAAATACATTCCTCAACTTTCATTTTCCAGAACTACTTTCAGAAACTCCACCGAGGGGGGAAGAATTTAATCAAACACCCACAATTCGAACACTTTTTTTACGAAGGAAAATATTTTCTTCCGATTTGATTGGAACAAACTTTTTTGTGAAACAAGCTCACTCTGGATTTTTACAATTTTTAAAAATATTTATTTTCCGAGGTTTGATTCAGATGTTTGAGAAGTTTCGAAAATTGTTCTCCTTTATTTCTCATTATCTGTTTAATTTTTCTGATATATTCAAAAATCATCTTTTTTAAGTGAAAGGAGACATGAACATTTTCGAACATGTTTCACAAAAAAGTTTGTTCCAATCAAATCGGAAGAAAATATTTTCCTTCGTAAAAAAAGTGTTCGAATTGTGGGTGTTTGATTAAATTCTTCCCCCCTCGGTGGAGTTTCTGAAAGTAGTTCTGGAAAATGAAAGTTGAGGAATGTATTTGTGGATTATTGAGACAATAAATGAAACGACGATTATTTGAAAAGTTTTTTCCAAACAAAAATGATACAAAATGATTAATAATAATTCCAGATACATAGAAACATTTGCTTTTTCGATTTGAGAACATTCCTAATCCAATTGAAACTCTGTCATGTCGATTCTTTTTTTCATTTCCTCTTCGAATAGTCTCTGTTTCTCCTTTTCAAGTTTATTTGCCTCTTGGACCTCTCTTGAACGCCAAATTGAAAAACTTTTGTCTCGAACCACACACCAGCCCTTCGATTGTTGT